TGTAAACATTATCTGACCAGTCACGTTGCAACCAATGTGAGAGCGCGCGAAAGTCCTTAATGACTTCGAAAAATGGTTTTACTAGAACTTAAACTGAATTTTATACATACAAAAAAAACGAAGACCTCCTAGCCGTTTTAGTTAACTACTTCGAAGATACGTGGATTGGGTGCTTCAACAAGCGCGGGCGTATGCGAAAACCTCTTTTTCCGATTGAAATGTGGAACTGTTTTCTATCAGTCGCGGGTGGACCGCCTCGCACCAATAACCCCGTCGAAGGTTGGCACAACGCGCTAGCCGCAATTCTTAACGCCAAGCACCCATCTATATGGAGGGTAGTAAATGCATTTAAAAAAGAGGAATAAGTGTGCAGAAAAAAAAATTGAAGATGTTGTTGCCGGGAAACCCCTTCCTCCGCAACAAAAAAAGTACCGCGATTTTACGTAACGGCTTGAAACTATCTGCGCCGACTTCCAAAACTGCACAATAGACGAGTTCTTGCGCGGTATCGTAAAGAACTTATGCTAAATTCTGAACTAAATTCTGTTAATTTTAATTTTTTCATCATTTTCACGAGGGCTCTACAGCTACACACCCGCTCTATTCTTTTATTACACTCGGTCGCGCAACAAATTTTCCAATACTCTCGTCACAAAACTCACAAGGATCAGCTCATGGAACATGGAACAATGAAAGGTTTTTCTCACTTTTATCGATGTATTTTACTGTTTCATTTATGGCGAATTTTTGGCGGGATTATCTCCACGGGATTTTGTCGCGTGGGATTATGTTGGTAAATCAAAAAATCAACTTTACCTCCCCAGCCCCCTCCCAGGAACAGACATTATTTTTAATCTGCCAAACGTTTCACGGTCTTAAAAGTGCTATTTTGTTTCAGCATCACAAGAGAGTAATGACATCAAAGTGGTGTTGTTGATGTTCCCGCCTACCGTCAAGGTCACGTATCGGTTGTCTAATCACGAATAAGCTGAATTTCTGATGACATCAGAGCGCCACCAAGCGTCCTTTCTTAAAATTTAGTTCGGATGATGCTCGCAGGGAGCTCTAGCAGTCGTCACCATTAAAAACCGGCGGAAAATATGAAATAATTTATAAAATAGAAATTATAATTTGAAAACTTTTCAAAAGAGGATAAACAGGGCATTACAGGAAAATTATCTTCAACAACGAATTTTTCATCTGTAAAATATCTTACAAATTATAAAAATTATAATTTGAAACCTTATTACAAATCACAGCAGGCACTGTAATTATTATACCAAATTAGTGAGTGTTATCATAGAAAATACAATAGGCATTATTGTAGTAATATTTAGCTGAATGAACAAGTACCAATGACCAACTTTTAGATGATTAGGAAAGGATATAGCACGAAAATCGCCACGTGAGAAGTAGTTAGTAACAATGTAAACAATCAATCAATCCCGAGTATTCAAGAGTGAGGTTAGAATCCCACCATCACCCGATGACGACCTGCGGAGGTCGACAACAACTGATGTTATATATATGTACCGTTCCGTTCCGTAATATAAGTTACATTCTCTCCCATTTTCTTAGTAATCTGACAGCACTGGCACGCGCGGAACTTCTCTCAATGCCGCTTTGTCAGCTCAAACTTTCTATCTTGTTGCTAAATATGGACTTCGCTCCGAAATTTTGCCTTATTCAGACAATTTCGGTGGCTTGCGCCGAAAGTCAAATCCCCCTCTAGTCCAACTTGCCGTCTGTGACGCGAGTTGCCCTACTTATCTTTCATTATAAATTGATTGTCACTTTCCTCTTGTTTCAATCGCAGTTCCTGATAGTTACTCTCTTGATGGTACCGGTTCCCTCCATCATTGTTCGTGTCCCTACCGTCTAGTGCTCTGGTTGTATTATTTTCCAATACGTGAATAAAATCTTTGTGTGTGTTACCCGCATTTCACTTCGATTTATTTATTATCTCGGGCTTTTCTGAGCCCTGGCGCAGTTGCTGCCTCCTCAAAACCCGCTGAGAATTTAACTTATATATGTAGGTACTAGGGGCTATGCTCCCTAGCTGCTACGCGGCCCAACCCACAGAGGGCGCTTCGCGTTCTGTAAGGCCCCCCATAAAAAATAAAAAGATTTTTATACTCGACTCTCATTTGGCCATTCTCCTTCTGGCCGGGAGCGATTGGACCGATTAGAATCGAATGAAAAAATCGGCAGTTATTTCAAACTTCGCGCTAAGGCTGAAATGAAACGGGACGAACGGAACGGAGCGTTTCGTCGCTTTTGGATAGTCTGTAGCAAAGGAGCATACCTTTGATCCCCTTACGCTACTAACAGAACAAGATTCAGAATTTCCAGCTTGGTTTAATTTTCCATTAAATTTTTCCGTTGACTTGAAATTCAAATTTTGCCCCTCTTTTTATGCTCCCTGGACTACTCTTATATAAAAAGAAACCTGGGTCCTATTTCTAAAACCTGATTCGAGCAGGCTCATCTAGGGACTATCACCCATTGATAACCGCAAAAATCGTGGAAATCGACCCAGTAGAACGCTCCAACGAACGATGGAAAAAATAAAAAGTTAAATTGTTTCAATGGGATAATTTGCAACTTTGCGACGTAATATACATAAAACCTGGGTCATATTTTGAAAATCTGAATAGAGCGGGATCCTCTAGATACAGTTGCCTGTCCATAGCAGCAAAAATAATGAAAATCGACCCTGGAACCAAGCGTTACCAGATATGCAAATTTCGGAGGTCTCGGAGCGTATAGTATACAGGGTGTACCAAAAGTCCGTCCCATCCCTGCTAACTTTTGAACGAATTGAGCTAGGGTAATGAAAGTTTGGGAATGTTCCTATCTCAAAGGAGACCATTTTGGGGGGGGGTCAAAATTTTGGTCCCCCTCAGGGGGGGCGCGGGGGGCCCCCAACTTTTTTTTTCAAATGGCAACCCCTATCTTGTGATACCTCATTCGAAAGAGCATAAAAAACTAAGAATTTTGGCGCAAACCGCAGATCAATATCTTAATTTTTGACCGAGTTATGATAGGTCAAAGGTCAAATTTGACCTATTTTCAAAAAATCATAACTCCGGTTCAAATTATCGTAAGGAAAAAAATAAAACGGGAAAATTTACCAAATTGTGTCCGCTTTTAAGTAAAAATTGCAGAAATCACTTCGATTTAATTTTAAGGGGGGGGGGGCTCGGACCCCCAAATACGTCAATTCAAAGGTCATTCAATTTTCCCGCGAAATAAGCAAATTTTGCCTAGATTTGCCTCCACATTATCTCAGTAAGGTCAAAATCAGTTCAAAATTACGTTGGCAAGTCCCCAATTTTCGGGAAAAGTTAAAAAAAAAAACGAAATTGAAACGGTCAAATTTAATCACCTTAAATTTCGTTGGACAAAATGGCGGCCGGTCAAAGTTCAAAATGGCGAAAATTTGACACCTCCGTTTTTTATCGGCGGATTGGTCTGAAACTCAGAATCCTAGGGTTTCCGGGACGAGAAAAACGATTCTGGCATTAGTTTTCCAGATATGTCAGTCCTTTTCAAAATGGCGGCTTAGAGCGGGAAGTGGATATTTAGGCTGCTTATCGTCGGACTTGTATGAGACTCGGTATCCGGGGGTGTTTCGGCACAAAAAGAACGAATCTCTCATTGAATTTTTGAAATTTTTAAAAACTTTAAAATGGCGGCGAAAAAATGACGGAAAATCCATATCAAGGCTGTTGACCGATGGATTTGCACGAAATCCTAGGGTTTCCGGGACGAGAAAAACGATTCTGGCATTAGTTTTCCAGATATGTCAGTCCTTTTCAAAATGGCGGCTTAGAGCGGGAAGTGGATATTTAGGCTGCTTATCGTCGGACTTGTATGAGACTCGGTATCCGGGGGTGTTTCGGCACAAAAAGAACGAATCTCTCATTGAATTTTTGAAATTTTTAAAAACTTTAAAATGGCGGCGAAAAAATGACGGAAAATCCATATCAAGGCTGTTGACCGATGGATTTGCACAAAAGTCAGTACTCTGGTGGTTTTTGGCTCGAAAAAAATTAATCTTCCGGTAGATTTTTTAAACACTGAATATCGTCAAAATGGTAGCGGAAAAATAACGGAAAATCCGCATCCTCCATTCGCATTTTTGCCGCACTTTTAAAGTTTCTAAAAATTTCAAAAATCCAATGAAAGATTCGTTCTTCTCGTGCCGATGCCGATATACCCTCGGATACCAAGTCTCATACAAATCCGACGATAAGCAGCCTAAATATCCACTTCCCGCTCTAAGCCGCCATTTTAACCGCCGCCATTTTGAAAAGGACTGACATTTCTGGAAAACTAATGCCAGAATCGTTTTTTTCGTCCCGGAAACCCTAGGATTCTGAGTTTCAGACCAATCCGCCGATAAAAAACGGAGATATCAAATTTCCGCCATTTTGAACTTTGACCGGCCGCCATTTTGTCAAAAATCAACATTTTGACCTGCGGTTTGCGCCAAAAATTTTCATTTTTTATTATCTTTCGAATGAGGTATCACAAAGGGAGGGGGGGTTTGCCATTTGAAAAAAAAAGTTGGCCCCCACCCTCCTAAGGGGGGACTCCCTAAATTTTGGGGGGACCAAAAAGTTGCTACTTCAGACCGAGGAACATTGCCAAAGTTTCAAACTTCTATCTCAACATGAAAAAAAGTTACAGGGGTGGTAGGTGACTTTTGGATAACCCTGTATGAATGAATATGCACCCTAGATGAGCCCACTCTACTTTTAACCCACAAGGTGTCCGCGAAGCGCTCCTGTGAGAATGGGCCCTGTATCGGCCAGGAGGCTTACCTCCAAGTATTATAAACCTAAAATGCCTACATCAATAAATAAGAGATACTGATCATATTTTTGAAACTCATCCAAGATCTGTAGAAACAATTTTCCACGCCTTTGCGAATATGTTAGTTATAAGCATGATGCATTATGAAACAAAGTCCAAAAATGAGAAATGGCACTTACCTTGACAACAGTTTCAATACCACCATAGTCATGATGTGATATAGAATAACTATGCACATCCCTTCGAGATTCATGCTTGTCGGACATATCCATGCGTAAAATCTCAGGATTACTACTTTGGGATAGCAGTCGTTCCTTCATTTCGTGAATATAAGGACAACGCTGCATTTCACGCACTGTAAAAGGAGGAAAAATTGAGGCATAATCTGGTAAATTAAGGCACTGATTGGGTAAAACGTAGAGTCCCTTTACACCCAGAGTTAACACAACTCACTTTTGGTTGGGCCAGGGTTGGGCTGAAAGTGGCCTAAAAAAAAATCCAATTCTGATTGGTTCTCGCTCATGGAGGCCGAAACGAGTGCACCAAGATGGCGGTACCTCGAATATGAACCAGAATAATGAAAATTTTAACTAATTGTGGTTTACCAAGAGTAAATTGTTATTTCCATCAGTCCAAAATGAAAATAGATGAAGAAATTATTTACAAACCAATCTCATTTTCTTTTTAATTGATCAATTTGTTGATGTTGTTGTTTTTGTGAGACAGACATCGCAGGATTCCTGATCCTTATCCCTCAATATCGTTCCTTTGGGTGCACTCGTTTCGGCCTCCATGACCAGCCAAGGCCGGCTGCTAGTCAGCTGATAATCGAGTTGTCTTAACTCTGGGTATAAAGGGACTCTAGTAAAACGGAGAGAAAAACTCCCAATAATAAGTATTCAATGACAATTTTCAATCAGATTTCAATTTTTTTTGCAGAGGAGAACCATTGTACGCTTTTCCTAGAAAATTTCACTGGTTCCTTTTCATCCGGTCTAGAATATTCGAGGGCAATTCTGTCCAATTACGAAATCTGAAGACCGATTGATTTCGCATCGATATCTCAAATCGGTACCTGGGTGAATTTAAATAGTCAAATTCCAGGTTCTATTTTCTCCCAAAATTTTTTTGTGAATTTTTGGGCAAACCGAACTTCATTTTGACTATCATTAGGTGTAGACTTCGGAAATATAGCTCGTCGAGCTTAATAATTGGGCTTAAATCTGAATTTCCACCGTCAAGTGTATCACTTCCCAATATTTGCTCTAATTTTGCCCGATTTCCCAAATTTTCACCTCAGAGGTGACATATAATTCTTATAATTAAAAATTGAACACAATTGTCATAAAAGCATCGTCTAGCACTAAATTAAAGCATAATTGAAAACATGTAACCCTTGCAGAACCAAAAAAATTGAGAAAAAATTCATCCGTCATGAAATATATCTGCAGCTTATTCTTCTTGCCTTTTAGACAGTTCCGTCTGTTTATCAAAATGCGCACGGTTTTCCTTTAACACGAGAAGAAGCTTTTAAGTCTAGGAATATTGCAATACAAAATGGATCAAAAACACCGAATTTTAAAACTTCGAGTAGGCGTAAACCCGCTGAAGTGGAGACAAAGGCAGGAAAAGTTTGAGGACTTACATTAACAAAACAGTTATACCGGTCAAATTTTTTTTTTCTCCCCCCCCCCCCCCCGAAGATTTGCCAATGGTTTCGGAGTAGATTTTTGGCGCTGATTCAGAAGAACACCTCCATTTACCTGTGTATCGGTGCATTTATCCTGGGAAAGTTCGGAATTTTTCCGGAGAAATCGGAATTTTCCTTTAAAACCTGTCTTTTCAGAAGAGTCAATTTTCCGGGAGAATCTGTGCACGATGGACAAAACTCAGGAATTTTTCAATTTCGTAGCCTAAGATACATAAGAAACCGTATTGCACCCCTATTAAAATTTCCTTTCTTTTCCTAATACCAAGGTTTTCCGGTCCAGTTTCATTAAAATCGATAAAATAGTCACCGAGATGGTGTTTTAAGCCACGGCCACCATCTTAGATTTTCGAATCTCGGAAATTTGACTAAAATTCGAGTTCCCCGTTCATAAATACCCGCGGGTACCAAGTTCCGCATAAATCGATTGATTAGGCGCTGAGATAGCATTTTAGGCCATGTCCGCTATCTTAGATTTTTGAATTTTGAAAATTCGACTAAAAATTCAAATTCCCCATCGAAAAATACCCCCAGGTACCAAGTTTCACTTTAATCGACTCATTAGATGCTGAGATAGCATTTTAGGCCACGTCCGCCATCTTGAATTTTCGAATTTTGAAAATTTGACTAAAAATTCGAGTTTCCCATTCAAAAATACCCACGGATACCAAGTTTCGCGTAAATCGATTGATTAGGCACTCAGATAGCATTTTGGGCTATGTCCACCATCTTGGATTTTCGAATTTTGAAAATTCGACTAAAAATTCGAATTCCCCATTGTAAATACCTTCGTGTACCAAGTTTCACTTAAATCGGTCGAAAAGAGTGCCTACAGGGCTTAAAAAAACAAGTCTCAGTTGATAAGGCGCTGCGATAGCATTTTAGGCCATGTCCGCCATCTTGGATTTTCGAATTTTCAAAATTCGACTAAAAATTCGAGTTCCCCATTGCAAAATACCCCCGTGTACCAAGTTTCACTTAAATCGGTAGAAAAGAGCGCCTACAGGGCTTTAACAAGCAAGTCTCAGTTGTAACAGTTTTCCACTCTGTCCCATTAAACTGGGACAGGATGGAAACATATGGGACAGGATGGAAATAAGCTGTTTTTTAAGCTTATCTCGAACAGTAAAGACAATTTTGGTGTTTTTTTTCACAGAATATTTAGTAGCACATCCTAGAGTATCGGAATAAGAGAAAATTTTCCATAACGCACACTTGGAAAGTATTTTACGAGCTTATAACGTCGCTCCTCTGACGTAAGGGCGTATCTCGATTTTAACGTGAACCCTGTTGTCCATATAACTCTATGCTTTCCAGGGCTCATGTCAAAATCGAGATACGCCCTTACGTCAGAGGAGCGACGATAATAGTGTGTGTGTCTGTATGCTTAACGTCCTACTGGTTATCATGTATAGCATTTTGTTTGGCATCGTTAATGGCGTTAATTTTGCACAAAAATTTGCGAATTTCAGAATTTTTGCCATCTGCGACGTGTGAACTATCTTACTATAGTAAAAAAAAATAAGGCCTTTTTTGTGTGTACGTCCGTGTCATTTCGCATTCTCATTGGTCTTTCATTAACCAATCAGAAAACGTCATTGAAAATCCCCGGGAAATTTAAATGTATTCTTCCGTAAAAGAATTATTGATAGGTAGACAGGTATAAAAATGGGATGTATTTCTTCTAATAACCAGGATAAAAGGGAGGATTATTACCTATACAGGATAGTCCTAGAAAAACGGGATGTACCTATATTAATAA